TTGGACCAATCAGGCTGTGATAAAACCCACGTGTGACCATTCCCTCCTCCCACTCTGGAAAACTCATTTGTTAGGTTCTTGGTATAGTTGATTTGCTTTGGAAACTGACACTAGACTTAATGGGCTGATTCAGTAAAGTAGTTTTTCAATTCTTACATTACACTAGATTGCCAAATGATATTTTCAGTTTTAGATATCCTAGTTCTTAACCCCAGATATTTGCAAGATTCAAACTAATTCAGCATGTTTATTCCTAGCTGCTAACCTCCCATCACAACAATTTCTGTATACTTTCTAAAAACTCACAAATAAAGAGACTCACCCATTTCTTCACTCAATCTGCACTTTTGCTAAGATTTTTCACAAATGATGTGTCTGGCTGATATTTTTATCCATGATCAACTCCATTAACCTAGTTTTCTGGAGTGGCACAACATACCAAATTATGAACAAACCACATGGGCAAACTTCATGTAGCACTTCTGCCCAACTAAAACATGGCTATCTACTCTAGTCTGTAACTCAATGGGTCAGTGAACCACAACACCATCTAAAGCACAAATACAGAATATAAAATGGTTCTTTATTACTAGATTGTCATCCATTCCCATAGTCTAACAGAACCAATTTAAAGATCCTCTCATGAAGTTCATACATTACATTGTCCCCAATAGCTTTCTCTTAGTGTTCGTTCTCGTTCTCTGTCTCTCTCTCAAAAAGAAATACTACCATTAGTCATTCCATTAGGAAATTGCATCATCATTAATATATGGATACTGTATTATACATATATGCATGTACTGTGGTAAAAATAGTTAGAGGAAACTAACAATCCATTTCACTTCCAGATGCTAAAAGGCAGCCAAGCAATATTATTCCCTCATGCCTATGAGAGGAAAAAGGACCACTGGGTGCAAAATTCTTATATTAATCATTTTCTCTCTTCCATGCAATCAATAGCACTCAAGACAACCCAAATTTAATTTGAGCCATTGAGCCAGCAGAAACTCAGGTGACTTAGTAAAACAGAGAACTGGTTTAAAAGCAATTCTTAAATATATCCATTGTAAATCATAAAACAGCTGCCCAAAGTATAGTTCTTCCCTGTCCCACAGGAAAGACTTGACCCGAAGATTTAAAGCACAAATGGCAAATTCAGAAACAACAGTATGATAAGGGAACCAATGTCTCCAAGGAATTGTGGATTCTTCCCTGGAAGTTTTCAGACTGAAGCTGCATAAGAACCATATATTGGAGATGCTCAGTTTCTCATTTTTGAGATCAGTTTGATGGTCCACAGGTAGCTTTTTATTGTGCAATCACATTCACAGAATTTGGGCCAGGCTTTTACTGCACAATTCCCTCATCTTTTTCCTGAGATTTCCCAAAGAATCTAGATGTTGTTGGCTTTCCTTGTAATTCTCCATATTTCTACCACACCTTCTGCCTGGTTGCTATTCCAAAAATTGTCAATGAAAAGGAAGGGAGAGAATAGCTGAGGGTCCTGGATTTGCAGGCAACTTTTCAGCATAAGCCTGGATTCATACACAATATTTTTAGACTGCTGTGCTGAACTAGCCCATGATTTACTTGTTGGCATTGCATAAACTCCTGGACTATCAAAAATAATCAACTGCACACAGTTCATACTATGCACTCAAATAACATGAAGTTGGATGATTTGTAGCTAAGAAAGTCAAGGAAACACTGGTTTGCCTCTGTGCATGTATAACCAGTTCTAACCAGAGGATTTCTGGAAGAAACTGGTTCCTAAAAGTGGAGCTGGCTTATCGCAGGAGGCTCAAATTCAAGGCCCACAGGCCAGATCCACCCCATAGGGATAGGAAAGAAAAAGAAAAAGAAGGAAAGAGGGGAAGAAAGCAAGGAAGGAAAAAGAAGAAAAGGAAAGAAGGAAGGGAGATTCTAAGGAGAGAGTGAGGGTCTGAGGTAAATCCTGCCTTAGCACTTGGCCATCAGCAGCTGTGCTGCAGTTTGCCATCCCCTTGTCCCCTCCTCCTGACCTCTTCTGGTGATCTTCCATCCTATCACTGAGGATGCTATGGTTACAAAGCCAGGTCTCCTCACAAAGAGGAGTAGGCCTCCCTCTGACCACACTTTGCCCTCTCGCACACACCATGAGCAACTTAGCCACGGAGCAAGCACAGCAGCAGTGGGAGCTGGCCACAGCCATCACACACACACCCAAGTCAACCACAATCCTGATGCGCCCTCAATGAAATTGAGTTTCACACCCCTGGTTTATTGGAAGATTATATTTAAAACAAACCTCTTAGCATTTTTCTTTTTCAAGAAGAGGGAGAAGGAAGAGTTAAGATATATAAATTGGGCAAATTCACATAAAGGCTGAATAAAGAAAAGCCTGTTCCCTCTCCGGGGAATGACCTAATACTCACCATCGAGTATTGTCGTAGTAATGCTCCAGCACCGAGTATCCGAAGAAAGAGTTATTGGGTCCTTGATAAATCACGGGATGATCCAGATCGATGTTATAGGAATAAACCAAAGCCACGGAAAGCGTCGCCACCAGGACTTTAAATCCACCCCGCTTGCCCTCCCAGGGAAATCCAGCCATTCTCTAGTTTTCAAAATTCGCCTCTTCGCATGCCAACTAAGAAAAGCCCTTTCTTGTTGGCTCTCCGGCAGCGGAGAGCTGCGTGGCCGCCCGCGTTTCGACTTTGAGGAGGCAGAATCAGCAGCAGAGAACAAAACGCCCCCGCAGCTTGTAGCATTCAAACAGCTTCTTCGCCACAAACAATAAAAAAGGGAGGAGGAGCGATTAAGCCAAAGTTCCCGAGTCAGCGTTGTCCCGCTGAAGTCTCGAGTACCAGTGAAAAGCGCAGCTAGCAAGAGTAATAGACTCAATTCGAAGCGCTACTTCAAGCCAACCTCCAGCCCAGGTCGCGTGGGGCCACAGTCCTCCTTTTCCAAGACGCCGCCGTCCAAACCAAACCATGGACGCCCTCTGTTGCCCGGTCTAAGAAACTCAGCAAGGCAACTCCTCTCGGAACCTTGTCACGCCTCTTTTCTTGGCCCGACTGCGAGTGAAGTTTTATACACACTGCGTGGCTGTGGTCGCGCAACTCCATAGCGGTGTAAAACTGGGATTGGAGAATGTACAGCGCAATACATTATACAAAGGCACTCGATTGTGCGGATGAAGGCGGTTGGGTATAACAAATCATAACTTAGCTAAGGAAAATTGAATGATGGGAGGACTGTATATTTCCTATTTTTAGCAGACCATAAAACCACTATTATCCATGGTGTTACCAAATATTCTCTTTCTGGCTTCTCATAAGCAAATTGGAAGCAGCAAGAAGTCAGAAGTGAGACACATGACATCCTCACTTAACAACCTAGGTTGTCCTCAGTAACAGGGTCTGCCATTGTTATGCAGAGAAATTGTATGACATACTTTACAACCACATTGCTTAATGATGAAAATCCCGGTCCCAGTTACCATAGTTAAGCAAGAACTATTCACAAAAGCCTAAATAAAGAAGCTGCTGAAATAGACTATTTTATCTTAAACTTTTAAACTCTTTGATTGTATAGACTTTGGTTACACACAATTGGAATGACCCCAGATAGTAATAAACAGTAGCATGACTCATAGGCCAACTAGCTTTAAGCAGCAATATTACTTCTTTACTATTGTTTTCATACAGATTTGCAGAATCCAGAGTGCATTGGCATTCTTAACGATAAAGTTAAACTGGATCTTTCCAGTCTTATTTTACTGGTTAGTAATAGTAGTAGTCTTAGGTCAAAACAGAAGATTATATATTGTAGGGAAATCACTCTCTCCTTTCACCTCCCTTTGGCATCTGAAATTTAACTGACAGTTTACACATGCATTTGCAATTTACATTTTAATAAAGAAGAACAAATACATGAAGATAAAGAAGATATTTCAAAGCCCACATACTCACCCTTGCCGACTCAATGAAGCGGTGGACGTGATGAACCAGGGCCTTGAAGCCGTTAGGGACTGGATGAGGGCTAACAAACTTGTGCTCAACCCAGATAAGACCGAGTGGCTGTTTTGTTTCCCTCCCATTAATTCGGCAAGTGTTCCATCTCTCAGGCTGGGGGGTCAAACATTACACCCCTCAGACAGGGTCCGCAACTTGGGAGTCCTCCTGGACCCACAGCTGACTTTTGAACACCATTTGTCAGCTGTGACCAGGGGGGCATTTGCCCAGGTTCGCCTGGTGCACCAGTTGCACCCCTACCTGAACCGGGAGGCCCTCACAACAGTCACTCGTGCCCTTGTGACCTCTAGGCTGGAATACTGCAATGTGCTCTACATGGGGCTGCCCTTGAAGAGTATTCGGCGACTTCAGCTAGTCCAGAATGCGGCCGCGCGAGCGATTGTGGGTGCACCTCGCTTTACCCACATAACACCTATCCTCCGCGAGCTGCACTGGCTACCTGTCGATCTCCGGATACGCTTCAAGGTGCTACTTGTCACCCATAAAGCCCTTCATGGTAGTGGATCTGGGTACTTGAGAGACCGCCTACTGCCAATTACCTCCACGCGACCAATTAGATCCCATAGATTAGGCCTCCTCCGAGTTCCATCTGCCGGTCAATGCCGACTGGCAACTATGCGGAGGAGAGCCTTCTCGGTGGCAGCTCCGACCCTATGGAACGATCTCCCCGTGGAGATTCGTACCCTCACCACCCTCCAGACTTTCCGCACAGCCCTTAAAATCTGGCTATCCCGTCAGGCCTGGGGCTAAAGACTGTAACCCACCCGAATGGTATGAATGTTGTGCTTTTAACTATGTATTGTTTTTACGTGTTAAATGTTTGTTTTCCCCCTCCCTTTGAGTTGTAAGCCGCCCTGAGTCCCCCCAGGGAAAAGGGCGGCATATAAATAAACTTTCATAACTCATTTAATAGGATTAATAGGATATTTTGAGAATGCCTTTGACCTAGATCAGATGAATCCTGTTGAAGAAATTAGGTGATTTTCACTTGTTTTCCCTTCTGTCTTTGATATTTATAATCTCTAAAACTCTTGGATGCAGTTTGTGAAGGTTCTCCATGATCATATTTAATTTCAACCATGAATCCTTTTTCTTTTTATTATGGGGGGAAATGCTCCTGAAGTTGAGGCAAACACCTACTGTAGATGGAAATTCACATATTCACTCTTCCCAAGTGTTCATTTTTTCTGGAAATACCATTATTTTAACTAACTTGATCTAACTTTTATTTTCACTGAAAATAATCCTTCATCCTTCATCATCATGTCTAACCACCTTTAATTCTTTGACATTAATTGTAATTTTATTAAACATGCTAGAGTAAAACTTTCAAGGGAAAAAAATCTTCATTGAGTTTCTGCTGATGGAAACAAAGCTCAGTAGCAAAACAATGAATATACTTTGATCCAATTTCTGAGTTGGGTAAGCATGTACAGTATGTTTGTGTTACTGTGTTATAATACTATAAAAAGGGATTAATCGATCCAGTAAACTAACAGCCAAAGGGTTAATTTTAATCTGAAACAAATTCAGTGATGCACTGGGTTAAACTAACAGGCCCTTGATTAAATTGTTTCCACATATTTATGTTGTGGAAACATGCCATCCCAGTCAGTTAAATGAATTTGCACATCTATATTTCTCCACATCAAATCAAGAAAAAAGGACTAGAGAAAGGGCATTGGTACTTACCTGATAAGCCTCTTCTAATAGGGTGGAGATAGCATCCATACATGGGTTGACATTGTCCGCCTTCTGATTGAACTGAGTCTGATAAAGGTTAGTTAAGACACGCCACTTGTTGCTAACCTTACCCAGTTTTTTAGCGAAGAAGAACTTAGACAGACTCAACGTGTCATCGCACAAACATTTTGGTAAACAAACTTCTCAAACCAGAGAAATGAACCACAAATTTTCAGTAAAAATTTTGAATGCAGAGCTCTTTATAATGTATAGCAGGCAAACTCATTCTTATAGCACTAATGGTATAGCAACGAGAGCAGTCAGAGAGGGAGGAGATTAATGCTATCTCCACCCTATTAGAAGAGGCATATAAGCTAAGTACCAACACCCTTTCTCAATAAAGGTGGAGATAGCATCCATATATGGGACATACCCAAGCCCACATGTCCCTACGAGAGGGAACCAGACTGATCCGGAACAGGTGCAGGAGAATGAACGGCCTGTAAGACCCTGCGGCCAAATGCTGCATCCAGAGACGCAAATTTATCAATTTTATAATTTGAAATGAATGGAGAAGGGGAAGCCCAGATTTCTTTGAGAGAAGCCTGGGTGGCCCAGGCTGCTGTCACAGCCGCACTTCTGGTGGAGTGTGCTGTTATGCCCTCAGGTACAGCCCGATGCTGGGAAGCATATGCCCTGGCTATATAACTGCGGAGCCTCCTGCCAATGGTAGAGGCAGACACCTTCCTACCTAGGGTCTCAGCCTGAAAGGAGACAACGATTTGGATCTCCTAAATTCAGAAGTGCAAGAGATATAAATCTTAAGTGGCCTTCGCACATCCAGCTTGTGCCAACGTCTCTCCAAGGGATGAGCCGGAGAGGGGCAAAACTGCCTCTTGCGCTCTATGGAATCACAATGAGACTTTTGGTGCAAAGTACTATCCTGTCAGTGTGGAAGATGCAAAGATCCTCCCTTACCGACAGGGCCTGCAGCTCTGAGATCCTCCTGGCAAAGGTGATGGCCACCAGGAAGGCCATCTTCCAAGAGAGGAACTGTAGTTCCACTGACCGAATGGGCTCAAAGGGGGCATCCATTAGGGCAGACAAAACCATGGGCAAGTCTCATGTAGAGTAGCGGTGAACCAGGGGTGATCTCAGATTGACTGCCCCTTTCAGAAGCCTTTTCACAGCCGGGTGATGTGATAAGGGTTGTGTCCCCCCCCCCCAAGTCAGAATCGTAGCCAGAGCTGCTACCTGTCTTCTCAATGTGTTGGGTGATAGCCCTTTCTCCAGCCCATCTTGGAGAAACTCCAACACCTGGGGAACAGATGCAGTGGGGGCATAAATGGTTATCGCATCACTTGCAGCATATATGCCAAGTGGCATCATATATGCGAACCGTGGATGGTCTCCTGAAAGCCTGGATAGTGCCAATGACCCTGGAGGAAAGACTGTTCTCCCCCAGAGAGTGCCACTCAAGCACCAGGAGGTCAGCTGGAGCCACTAAGCGTCTGGATGCTCCAGTGACCCCTGACTGAGGGCACCTGCAGTCTGAAGAATCCTCCAGGGGCTGGCTACTGACAGGGTCTGTAGGTCCATGAACCACAGCTATTGCAGCCAATGCAGGGCCACTAGGATTACCTTTGCCTTTCAGTGATCACCTTGTGCAACACCCGAGGAATCAAGGGCAGTGGGGGAAATGCATAAAGTAGTCTGGGGGGCCACCAACACCTGATAACGTCGGTCCCCTCTGTCCCTTGTGTCCTGAACCTCGCATAAAAGCTTGGGAGCTGCACATTGTCTGGGGTGGCAAAAAGGTCCGTAACAGGTGGTCCAAAGCAGGCCAAGATTTGATGGAAGAGTTGAGGGTGGAGGCGCCATTCCGCATTGTCCACCTTGGCCCGGCTGAGCCAGTCGGCTTGAAAATTCGCCACCTCCGAGATGTGTTCCGCAGTCATTAAAGCCAGGTGCCTCTCTGCCCAGAGGCCTAGTTCCATGGCTTCTGTCATGAGGTCCTTGGA